ATGGGGAGAGCAATTAGGGTCACATAACAATGTATGTATAAATTTTTGTATGGGAGACTAACTTGAAATGTAAACTTCATTTAAACTACAGCAATTAAAAAAAAGAGAAAGATATAGGGCCACTGCTATACAAAGAGGGTAGGCAAGAGTAAGTTTGGCATCCAGGTGATCCACTTAGGTACCCCTTGGAAATTCCAAACAAGTTCACCAGCCATAGCCTGAGAAGGGCATGGTGTAAAGAGACTCAAACCCTTCAAGGATGAAGGCTTTAGTTACTGCGCCAGGTAAGCTACCTAGATCAGCAGAGATGCTAGCCAAGAGTAGGGGAAATCTAAAGTGGGTGGTACAGGATGGAGATAATGAGAATTGGTTAAGGCCTCAAGACCAGCTGCAGTGGCAGATGCTCTAGTTTGTTTCACTGACCTTCTTCTTGTAAGTTTTCCTTAGGAAAAGAAGCCCAACATAACTATGGAGGAGTTGCTCCAGAATTTATTTTATGAGGCAAATGGGTTTGAGCTCAGCGTTGAATGAACGATAGCAGATGCTGTGGTGTACTGCTAAGATCTTCCCCCATCCCTGCCCCTGCAGCACAGAGGCTCCCATTTCTACAGCTGCTGAGATTGTTGGAGGCTTACAGTCCTCAGTCAAGTCCCTCTCCAGACATTGCCTGTTGCTGCAGAGACTCTTCTTGCCCAAGTTCATGACACTTCCAAGGTCATGCTCACATCCAACGACCGGCCAATGCCAGAATGTAAAGGCCCAGTCATGTTGGCTAATTTGTGACAACTCTGAAGGACTATCACAACTCTAGAAATGCCCATGTATTCAGCTGAGGCCTTTGTTGTGACTACATTGCCGCCCAATTTCTCCTCTACCCAATCCTGCTCCCTTGACTACCCCGACAGGCGTTGACCCTAAGAGCATGCTCCAATCAACTTGCTGCACTCTAATCTCTGTCTGAGACAGCTTCCTACATAAACTGACCTGTGGCAGTGTGTTTTGCCATACATTATTTATTTATTTATTTTTGCTTTTGATTTTTATTATCATTTCTTAGTATGGACTAACTTTTCAATCTTTTCCTTTACAGTTTCTAGCGTTTTATATCATGGTCGGAAGGGCCTTCCCCATTTCAAGAATACAAACATATTCACCCTGTTATTTTCTAGTACTTTCCTTCAAAAACAGTCTTTAACTCTTTGATTCAGCTGCAATTTTGATGTAAAGAGAGAGGTAGGGATCCAGCTTTACTTATTGTTTTTCAGATGGTTAACTTGTTCTTTCTACACAGTTTATTTTAAAAATTCCTCATTCTCCGAAACTTTTCTAAGGTGTAATGTGCTTTTTTCCTTTCTCCAATTTCTAGATTTTAATGTTTAACTCATTTTTCTCCCACTCTGTTTAGTAACTGAAAGGCTTAAGTTATGATTTTTTTTTTCTTTAAGTACAGTGTTGGCTGCATCTATGAGTTTTTTAATATATGGTGTTTTCTTCATCAATTTTATTTTTTAGGTACTGTGCACCCAATTGTGTTTTCAATTTCTTCATTTTAAAGAATGGTTTATGTAAGCTCTCTAAAAGTTTATAAATGGTAGGACTTCTTATTTCTTCCTAGCTTTATTGTAGTGTGATGAAGAAATCTGATTTGTACTATTTCTATATAGAAATTTTAGTATCTTTCTCATGTAAGAAAAAGTGAGTAATTATTTTCCATTTTCCAAATTACTTATAATTTGCTGTGATTGGGACATCAGAAAATAAACAGTAAAGGCATGTGAATCTCTTATAGGTAAAGTGATTGAGCACCATTCTAAGGACTTTATGGTGATAATGTTGGCTGCTCGGAGTCCAACTTTGTCTCTTCCTTGGTCTTGAGATTGTTTCTGAGTTTCCTTAGAGTTGAATATGTCACAGGAAGCCAGGGTCAGCAAATGTCAACATACATTTAGAGAGTTTTATTTTGAAAGGTGGATCAACCAAGGTCTCTAGGCTTACTCCAAGCCAAGACAGGATATTAAGGTTTCTGAAGTCTAGTCTTACTCCGCTATGGACTGGTTGTGTGACAGTGGACAAATCTCCTATTTGTGCTTCAGCATCTTTACATGTGGGTGGGGAGCAGGGCTGTACTGAGTCTGATGGACTCTAGGAACCTTCTAGCTCTGACTAGGTAGGGGCTAGAGTGATGGACAGAGAAAAAGGGACATGGAGGAGAGCAAAGTCATAGGAGCAAGTCAGGGAATCTGGGGAGGGTACCAAACACCTGGTTACTCTCTTCCTTTTAGTTCCCTACTAATGAGAGAAGGGTGCACGATGCACACTTGGTAGGTCTGGGAGTCGTGGATGAGGGAGGGGAACGGACAGATAAACATTTGGGTCATCAACTTAAGATTTAAAACCTGAGCTGAGAACAAGTTTGAATGCTCAAGAAACCAGCAACACCTTCATACTTTGCCGATATGTTTATTAATATATTTAATATTTTCTCCTTTCAGATGATGGTGACAAAAGCAGATGGACCCCACCCTTACCCACCCACCCCAATAAAATACAGACACAGATTTCATTCAGCATATACAAGCATTGGGGCATGTGTCCAAATTGACCTCACTGGGTTACCAGAGCCAGGAGAGGTTTGATATTGGGGGCAGTCTGAGCATGTCAGGCCCAGGAACTGAGCAGGCCAATGCTGAAGAGAGGCTGCCACTCTGGGCCCTGCCACTTGGGTGTTAGCAAAGGTGAGAGAATCAAATGGTGAACAGAGCTGCCTAGCCCTAAGCATGTGGTCTAGAAGGTGACACTGGGCCCCTGGGTAGTTTCCAGTGAGAGCCACAGTCCTATAGAAATCTGTGCCTCCGAGTTCTCTTCTGCAAAATGGGGATAAGAATCTTGCCCTGACTGTATCACAGGGCTATGTTCAGGCTCAAAATAGAAATATTTTGTCAAAAGTGCTTTGCAAAAGGTAAATTTAAGGGAGTTTGATTGATTGATTGTGATTGTGAGAGTGCCCCAGGGATAAATGTTGACCGGCTCATGGGTCCAGGAGCCAAGGAAGTGGCAGAACTCCTCCGCTGTGCCTTAGGTGGGCACCAGTCAATGGCGGGCAATGCCTGCTATGAGGCAGAGTTCCTTTGGTTCCTTGGCCCCAGGAAGTCACCAAGGCCTAGTACCAGGGTCAGGGCTGGAAAGTCACTGGGGAAGTTACAGAAAGAGTCATAGGGGTCAAAAGGAGGAAGAAGGAGGCATATAAAGCAGGGGCCATTACGATCATCCCACACACAATAGATACCCACTGGATGCAGGGCATTGAATTAGTAGTGTGGATGAAAGATGGAGGCAAGAGGGAGAGGGAAGGGTCACAGCAGCAGAGGGAGGAATACTGTCCCAAAGAGGCTCAACTGCTGGCTCCCCTCCTCCTAAAGGGATAACACCAGTGTCTGTCTATCTGCAGGGGAAGGAGGGGCAGGGATATAGAATCACAGGAGATAGAATCTGTGCACTTTGAGGTTGATGCCAGAGCTGGGCCTGGAGCAGCACAAAGGCGGTGGCAGGGTTTCTGGAAAAGGCAATAGGTGTCAGCACTGTTCGGAGAGAGCTAACCAGCTCATATACAGGCACAGTTTTTGAGAGGTGGCCACTGAGACACTATGGTTTTTAAGACTGAGCATCATGAATGCCCCTTGAAGAATAGAGAGGTGGGCCATTTTACTTGAAATGGGCTATCATGGAAATTCAGTGATTGGGCCAGGTTGGGCAAAGGGCCAGCAAAGACAAATTCTCTGCAGGCTTGTATTTGGGAAAAGAGAAGGAAAGACACTCTCTACTTGCTCTTGCTGTGCTGCTGCTTTCCCTCAACTCCCTTGGCAAGGGGTTTAGGACCTCCTGGGGAAGTGGAGAGGCTGCCCCACAGGGCACCAGCTGGCATCTACAAGTAAAGGCAAACAAGCCAATAGACCACACTGAAGAAGAAGAAGGCCAGTGGGAAAACAACCCGCGAGTAGTCATCCAGGTGGTAGATGTGGATGCACAGGTGGCCCTGCTGCCAGGTGCTACCTTTGCAATTGGGGATCATGCAGAAGTATTTCTTGTAACCCCTGCGCCACTTGCAGCAGATAGGCTTCGAGCGCTGGGAACTACCTGGGTTGGAGGACTGCCCCTCTCCATCACCTCCCTCCTTGTTGACAATGGTGCAGACAAAAGCTTCCTGAAGCTGCCGGGCACGGGCACGGGCTCTCGCACGAGCACGCGCACGGGCTCGCGCACGTGCGCGGCCACGACGACGAGACTGAAATGGACGAGGAAAGAAGTGAGAAGAAGGCAAGGGAAGGGGACCCCAGCTTGATGCCCACCTCAGGATTGTTTGGAGGCCCTGTCCTTGGCACACCATATCTCGCTCCCAGAATTCACATCATCGCATCAGGAATTTATTCAACCCCCACCCCCCACCTCCCCTGGGTACCTCCCCATCAGCCAGTAGCTGGCCACCCATGTGCATAAGCTCCCGTGTCCTCACTAGTATGCCTACAAATTCCACGCCCATACCCCAGTCGCTCATACATGACGAAGTGTCGGAGAAGTACGGGTTTTCATCTGGTTGTAGGTCAGGAAGTTGAGCACAGCAAACTCCGTCAGTGCACAGAAGCAGAAGACAAAGCAGATGGCAAGATAAAAGTCCAAGGCTGTGACATAGGAGACACGTGGGAAATTCTTACGGGAAAACGTGCACAATGTAGTCATGGTAAGTACAGAGGTGACCCCTGCAAGAGCACAGGAGTGGAGGTGAACTCAGCTCCTGAGCTGTGGATTGTACTGCTTAAAGGGCCCAAGAGAAGGCAATTGTTTACCTTGGCAAAGCTACATCACAGTGCATGCTTATGCTTGTGCCTACCTGACCCTCTTACCTAAAGAGGTCCTAGCGGCTGCCGAGTCCTTCTTGATCCAAAAGGAAACCCAGGAGAGCATCGTGGTCACAGAAGAAGGGACATAGTTTTGAAAGGCAACATAGCCAAACTGCCTGCTGACGTTGAAGAAAAACGTCATGACCATGAAATCACCTGGAAGACATGAAAAATGACACTTCATGATGGCACTGACATGAGGCCCTCCCCCTCTAAGCAGTACTTGGACATTAAAGGTGCCATTATTCAGCTCATGGATTCCTCACCACAGTCCTAGGATAGAGGCACATTGTTTGAATCCAACATACAGAGGATCAGAAGAAGCCCAGAAACTCACTGCAAGACCCTTGGCCAGTTCAGATGAGCTGGGGCCAGAACCTCAGTCTCCTCTTTCTCAGTTCACTCTCCCATACCCTACACCTGTCTTTCCAAGGCGGCAGCAGAGTCACATAAAAGTGAAACAATCCGTTAACCCTCTAGATATCAGAACTACACAGCTGATGTCCAGATGGCTGACTGAGGCCTTCACATTCTTTGAAGCAGCATGTCTAATCTGCAGACTTGCATCCCTGACTCCTGCGCCACTGGCCCTTATAATGTATGCACTCAGACAACTAGCCAAGAATGGCCTGTGCTGTGGTGGGGGGAGCAAAAAGTTCCTTCAGCCTTCATGCACACATTCATACACAGGTGAAATGCCTTAGCTATCACTGTTCCACCGATGGCCAGAAGAAGTCACTCTCCTGCTCCAAATATCTGGTGGCTCCTCGCTCCACACAAGCAACAGAATCAAGTCTAGACTGATCTGACACTAAAGGCTTACCATGATCTGGCTCCAACTGACATTTCACACACACACATACATACACACCACCCTTACCCTAAGCTAACCCCATTTGCTCTCAGATTTCCTGAGACGGCCTGTATATTTATACCAATATTCAAACCCTAGGTTCCCTGTTCTGACCCAAATTGAGTGCTTCAGGAAAATAGAAGAATGAGATGAAAGTGAAAATTTCAGTCAGCCCTCTAGATGTCAGGTCTGTAAAGTATACATCCATAAGGCAGACTGAGGTCTTCACATTCATTTGGGCATCATATCCTTGGTCTTGGCTCTCACCCTAGACACCAAAGGCTCTTAAAGGACCTGATGACAACCTACCTCTCCAGCTGGCATCTTCTATTGTACCATCCATGCTGCCCTATACTCCGGCACACCCATCTCCAAACACTCTGCATGCTCATGACTCCATGGTTTCTTTGGGCTTTTCTCTGAGCCTAGAATATCCCCTTTCACTCTCAACAACCTATTGGATTTGTAATAGCTCAAGTGCTGGCTCCCTTAGTGAAATGTTCTGTGGGTTTCCCACAGTTCCAAACTTCCAACTCAGTGATGCTGCAGATTTCCTTGGCCTTGAACCCTTTCAAGGCAGAGCTTACATGGGCCCTGTGGCTTGTCCCTTGCCCATCCAAACCTAGCACAGCCTGGAACCCAGCAGAAGTTTAGTGACTCTTGCTCCTGCTGGTAACAGCTTTATAAAGCAGGCCAGAACACTGATCTGTCTGTGTGTCCTCCTATTTTGGAAAGTAGATCACTTGCCCAGCAGGTCTGGGTGAGCTGGAGCTGAATGAGAAGACTTTCCTACTTACCTTGGTGGCATGGCATTCAACACGCAAGACTTCTTAGATTCTTCTGAAAAAAGGCAAGGACGTAGCCTGGGGTCAGTGGGAGACCTGGGTCCATAGTAGTAGCTTTAGGGACAGAACTCTTCCTCCAGAGCTGCTGAGGGACCATTCTCATACTTGTACCCACTCTGGAGTCTCGGCTGCACCTTAAGACTTTCCTATTTTGCTACAACCATACCAAGAAAAACAAACTCATTGCCATCGAGTTGAGTCAATTCTGACTCATGGCGACCCTAGAGGACAGAGTAGAACTGCCCCATGGGGTTTCCAAGGCTTAAATCTTTACAGAAGCAGACTGCCACTTCTTTCTCCCATGGAGCGGCTGGTGGGTTCAAACTGTCGACATTTGGTTAGCAGCCGAGCCTTTAACCACTGCACCACCAGGGCTCCTAGCTACAACCACCCGCTGCAAAATTTTGCAGAGTTTATATTTTCTTGTTGCAAGAAGATTTGTTATCCTATTGACTGTCTCTATTTTTATCTATTATGGCCAAAGAAGAAATTTTCCATTTGCCAAGAGATGAAAATTTGTCTTTGAAAGCTGGAAGCAGGTTGCTAAATACACTCTTTCTTCTTCATGAGGAGTGGTGGAACATGAGTAAGAGAAGTAAGACATCTGAGGCTGAGGAGCCAAAGCAAGAAAAAAAGCTAAAGATGCTTTCTGCTCTTACCTGCTTTGGCTGGACCATAGCTGACTCATGGTGTCCAATTCTGGGCACTGCGCTCTCAGAGGGACACAAAAAGACTGTTCAGATGACTAGGACTGTAAGGATTAGTATACCCAAAGCCTTGAAGAACAAGAGAAGGAACTAGTCTGTGCAGCCTATAACAGAATATGACCTAGGGCTGGAACAATAATACTGGTCCTTTAATCTTAGCCCTAAGGAAGCATGACTGGACTTAATTTAAACTGGGTAGGTCTAGGGAAAAAGAACTAGGTCCAATGGGTGGAGGTTCCAGAGAGTCCAACTTCAGATGATCAGGGAGATTTTTGATAGAAGGAACTCTCTTGTAAGATACTGAACTCCTGATCACTGGTAAGATTCCAACAGAGGCTCAACAGCCATCAGTAAAAGATGATCCATTCACTGGAGGCAGGGTTGGACTCTCTGAGAGCCTCCTGAAGCAGAATTCTCTGGTTCAAGGCCAAGGGGGCCAGAGTAGCAGACTACCACTACATTCTGAACCCTTGGGAGCTGAGTGCATATGTCTGCTACAGACTATGGTCCTGATGGAGAGAATTGTCCCAGAGGCCAAAGGGAAGGGTTTGAGACCAGTCCCAAAGACAGCTATAACACTAGAGAAACCACAATTCAAGATCAACTAATCTCCAGCAGAAGATAAAGAAGCCCTCCTCAAGAACCTTCCTCAATCCCAAGGAGGGCTGGTGCTTACCTATTATCATGGCTTTGGTGATGATGCCGGCTCTGGGGCTTTGTAGTCACTAGGGCACCATTTTGAAACAATGAACAACCATCTACTAAACGGAACCACTAGTGACTTGAAAGCCCCTGGGCCTTGTCTCCTGTGCCACTTTTGATGGTAGGTCCCCACCTGTCTGGGGCAATTGAGGTGCAGAAAGGCAAGAGGCAGGGCCGTGGTTAGCTGGCAGAGGAGCAAGGATCCCAAGTCAAAGGTAGAAAAACTGCTTCCCCAGATCCCCAGGGAAAAAGGAAAGCATTAATAAAGCAACCCTCTATCCCTGCCTAGTAGTGTGAAAGCAAAGCTCTAGCCAGATGAGTATGAGCTTCCCCTCACCCAGTGACCAACTCCATAAGAGAAGCAAAAGCAGATTTCTGCCTAGCCACATGGAAGCATAACAAGACCCCTCCCATGACAAATGGCTGGTTAGGTGACCGGCTCCATCCACATTCTGGAAACGATGAGGGCAATGCCTTCACTGCCCTGAACTTGGTCAGTATGTGTGAAGAGGGTTTCCAGGGCAGTCTGGGAGCAACCCTGGGGAGGTCCCTTGGCTCCTCATTCAGATCACCTAGGAACACAAGCAAAGATGCTCACACCTAATTAGGATCTGGAGTTTAAGAGACCCAGGACCCTCCCTTTAAGTCCTTGTTAGGGATAAGGTCAGAAAACCAATTGTCACCATGTGTATGTTGACTCCACCATGAAGCCTTTGACATGAATGTGCGCTTGTCAAGTATCAGAACCTCAGAGCTGTTCCTTTAAGATAAATGTCGATGTGATGCAGCAGCATTGGAGCTCTGTGCCCCAGAAACCTCCTCCAGACTATCCCAGCCTTTGTCTGGCTGACATTAGAGCTCCAGCTTCCACCTCCCCTTAGGACAGACTCTGCTTCCCACTTAATCATCTTGGATTGGTTCTGAGTATGGAGAACTCACATGAGCTCCATTCCAAAAAGTCATCCAAGTAGGTCAGTGTTATAACAAAGACCTTGGAATTGAAGGGTCTGCATGACAATGCTAGTTGCAAATTCTGACAGCAACAAATCTTTATCTACTTACCTACCCTTTCAGGGGGCTTGGCAAAGCACTTACTTCTTTGCAGATGAGACTGAGACATAGCTACAAAGTCTCAGTTTCCTCTGCAAACAGTTGTAAGTGCTTAGCATTTACAAGACAGGAGCCATGTACTACAATAGTTCCATGGAATGGCCGCATAGCATTTGTGTGGAGAGCCACCACCAGCCATTCGTACCACCCTCCTTGGTCTCAGCCTAACCCTGGCTTCCATGACACACTTACCAGCTAGGGTTGAGAGAGTTTCAGTTTTGTTGCTCATTCCTTTAAATTCAAACTGGAAGAGCTTCCAGGAGTTGTTCTCATTGATTTCAAGCTTGAAATCTTCCCATCTGTAGATCATCTCACTCATAGGATAGGAAACTGGAAAGCAATATAGGAAGACCATGTGAGACTGGGAAGCTCCTCTGAGGTCTCTACTAGCATGGATTCAGCCTGAGCAATGCCTTGGAGCCCTGACTCTGGCCTCACCAGCTTTGGGACCTTACCTCATTGCTGAAGTCCATTCAGTAAGAATATTTACTGAGCATTCCTCAGTACCAGGCCTTGGGCTGGAAATACAGAGATGAGCAAGGCATGATCCCTGCCCCTCAAGCATTCACATTTTAGTGGATAAGATGGTGAGCATACAGCTAACAGCCTGTAATTGTTGGAGTTGCTCTGAGTAGCCACTGTCCATGAGACAGTGGGGACACAAAGGGGGGAAAGATCAGAAAAGACTTCATGGAGTAGGTGACATCCCAATTAAGTCTTGTAACTTGAATACATATTTTCCATATAGATGAGGCCAAAGGGGCAAAGGGGGTGTTCCATGTACAGAAAGGGTAAAATTCCTGGTGTATTGTGGAAATACCGAAAGTTCATAGGGGATAAGGTGTGCAGGAGCGGGCAGCAGGGGACAGTTCACGAAGGGCCTTGTGGGTCATTCTAAGGAATTTAGAATTATTCCATGAGAGTTAAGGAAGGATTTGAAACTAAGAAGTGATCTGGTTCTAGATGGCATTTCAGCTAGGTCACTCTGGTCATTATGTGAGGACAGTCTGGTGGCAGAGATACCAGTTATAGGAGGCCAGTGTAGTAATTCAGGCAAAATAAAATGAATGAAGGCAGGAGTCAAAGCTGTGACAGACAGAATGCAGAGAAGTAAACAGGCTCAACAGAGATTAAGGAGGGAATACCAATAGGATGTGTTGATTGATTATATGTGGGAGGTGAGGGAAATAGAGGTTTTAAAGTTCTTGGCTTAGACAAATGGTAGATTATGATGCCCTTCAATAAGACCAATGGAAACACAGAAGAAGTAACACATTTGACTTGGAGATAGAGGTTGAGAAAAGACAATGAGTTTAGTCTTGGACATGTTCAGTTTCAAAGTGAAGATATTACAAAAGTCCAAGTGGAAGATGACAAAGGCCTAAACCAAGGTAGTGACAGTGGAAATGAAGAAGAGCAGACATACTTGAGATACACTTCAGACGCAGGTGACTGACTTGATGTGGAAAGGGAGGGAGAAGGAGGAACCCAACACAATGCCCAGGTTGAGCAACATAGTATTATTAGCAGGAAATGAGATGGGCATCAAGGGGGAGGCCCTGGGCAACCTCAGCACCATCTTAGGAGGAAAGCAAAGTGGGGGGATGAGAAAAAGAGGGGCACAGCATGACTCTGGGACCCCAGAAACCCAAGAAATGCCACCAGTATTCAAATACCAGCAGGGTCACCCGTGGTAGACAGGTTTCAGCTGAGCTTCCAGACTAAGACAGACTAGGAAGAAGGACCCGGTACTCACAGCTAGAGAAAGACAGAGGACAAGAGTGAGAATCCATTGGAAATCTGTGCATATGGAGTGTACATTCAGCATCAATGGTCATCCTGGAAGGGAGAGAGGCGCCTCATTAGGCTGGCCCTTAGCGCTTAGATATCCATCCAGCTTGGACCTAGGGGCCACCACCAATGAGTGGCAACAGTGGCATTCGAGACAAAGAACTCAAAGGAGAGATAAAAAGAGAGGAAGGACAGCATGGAAGTATCTGGCTACTCTGGTCTCCAACATCAGAGAAGTATATGGATCAACTTAGATGAGCTTTTGTTTCTTTCCCAGCCCAGCTTCCAGGACCTGTTAACACTCTCCCACTCTCCACCACCACTGCCCCCACCTCCATCAACATAAAACCTTCCCCTGCCAGGCATTCAAGTACCCAGCCTGATCTTAGGTACCTTTCCAAATGCTGTGCTGCTGCTCCATCTGGACAATTTCACCATCGTGGATATGTCTTTACATCCAGTACCCACTGGGATAGAATTGTCTAGGCAACGCAGTCAAAGTGGTACATTCTAGTGGGGAAAGCACTGGACAAGGAGCCAAGTAAGTGGGTACCAGTCTCAACTCTGCCACAGATTTCGTGTGTAGCCTTAAGCAATATCTTTCTATTTTAAAGTCTCAGTGTCTGTATCTGTATATGAAGGGGTCAGGCTAATAGTCTAAAAAACATGTATGGGCCCTTAGAAGTAGCATTCCAGATGAGACCTCTGCCCAAGGATCGTTGGCTAAAATTCCCAGAGGAGGACGGAGGGCCCCAAGAAGAGAGACCGTAGAGGCTTCACATACCTAATTGTGTACAACACCTTGCCATCCCCGTGGATGCGAATCATTTGGTTTGGCATGGTGATTGTGTGCTCTTGGGTCCTCTTAGAATTCCTAAAAAAGGTGTCCGGGATCCATAACTGGCTCACCACATTGCTGTTCAGAACAAGAGTCTCAAAGCTGTCATTGTAGCGGAGGCGTTCATCATACCAGGTCTGGTAGAAGATGATGTCAATGGTGTATTCCTGGTAGAAAGGAAAGAAAGGCGCACACTTGGGGCTGTGGAGACAAAGGACAATCACATACAGACATACTGTTTGCCACTCCCTAACCTGGAGTCTTAAAAGGCAGTGTGATGGAACACTGGACCAGTTCTTCTTTTTTCCCTGAAAAAACTGTTATTTTAATTGGTGTGTATCTTAAATTAATATTAAATCAATAGCAACTTGGAGTTAAGGAAATGCACCTGAAGATTTCAATCATGTCCCCCGAGTCTTCTCCAGGGTTGACATTCGTGGATAAAAAGGTTTCAGCTTCATCAACCCAATCATTTGTTTTTCCCAATGGAGCTGCAAGGACTTCATAGTCAACTGACAGTCTACTCATAGGTGGCTCTTTTTGCCAAAGTGTGATATAATTCTAAAGCTCCCAAGTGTCCAAAGACATCTCTTAGAACTTGGTCAATGGCACAACTACCCACTTTGTGCTATGTTTATTCTACATGATCAATCACATATCTTGGAATAATTCCACCATTTAGAAAGAAAGCATTGCCTGATAGAATGGCAAGATGTGACCGTGATCCGTACAGATCTTACCACTGCAAAGTGATAAACAGAACCGAGTAAGACTGAGACCTAGAATGCCCCCATGGTCACATCACAGTCGACTATTGGGTGAACGCAGTCAAATCAAGGAAGCTGATGATTGCTAAGTATCTTGAAGATTAACATTAGTACAACAATGGGGTGGGTGAGATTCGGTGATCTCTAAAGGTCCTGTTAGCTCTGACCTTCTAGATTCTGAGAATTCTCATCAGCACCATGCTTAAGGGTATACAATTTGTGTCACTGCAACCAGCCAGGGCCCAGTTTTTTCTTATAAGTGAAAGTAAGAGAGTCAGAGGGAGGTAAGAGAACAACACAGTATTTGATCACTAAAAATGATGCGTCTGTAGACTGTGCCCACACCCAGAAACATGAACATAGAATCATGTTAAGGAAGAAAGACAGAAAAAAGCCCATAGACACTGACTAACACTACAGAAACTGAATATGCCCTATGAAATGGTTCCAAGGAAATGAGGAAGGAGACAGGTTAGACTCCAGTGGTAGTTTACTTTCACTTTTTTCCCCCTGTACGGTTGTTTCCACTTACAATCAAATGTTTAAACAAATGTTCACGTAACTTTGGCTGAAACAGGTATTACCTGCCATCCTCTTCCCTCTATTAAATGGAGGCCTAGAAACAACTAGTAAGTGCCCCAACACAGCTCAGTGATACCTAGAGAAAGGGCGTGAGTGAAGCAGACCGAGTTTCTGGCAATTGAGACCCTTCCTCCACCAGTGGGCAAAGGCCCCCGCCAGCCTCTCCTGTGTCTACCCAGCTGACAGACCCTTTGGAATTCACTTCAGTTTGCAAAGAGGAAAGCAGCATGAGTTTGACTGTAGCCATTTTCTGTTTTCAGGTATTCTCAAAAGAAAAGGAACATTCCCAAAGGGACAGCAGTCTGGGGAAGTCTGGTGGCTTACTTGAATGGACTGCGCTCCTCACCTCACTGCTCTGGTGTAGGGCTGTGCTGCTACCCAGGCCAGGTCAACACCTTCTCAACACCCACATTGCCATAGAAAAGAAAAGATGCCAGCTCAAAATAATTTTTAAAAATTGCAAACGCTTTTGATTGTATACAGTGAAGTTTCTCCTTTCAGCTTTTATTTGGGGAGCTCAGATGTTAATTAACCTCAATCCTTCATTCTCCAGAATTATATTAAAAAATGAAGTGAGTCACAAGAGAAATGTCTATTTAGTCTCATGTTTTTCAAACAAAGAGAACCATTTTTTTTTTGCTTTGTTTTGTTTTCCCTTTCAAACAAGAGCCCCTAACCTCTGAATGTGGGTGTGTGCATATGCATAGATAGATCCATGATGATTTGGTCTCCAGATATTTCTTATCCCATAAACTGTCTACTAAACATTGAGAAGAATGCTTAATAGGAAGAAGCTTGAGAAGGGAGAAATTTGCACCACTGGCATAGCAAAGAGAACAGACTGCAATACAGCTGCAAGCAGATTGGACAGCAAGGATCAGAACTAGGCCAGGTAGCCCAAGCTCCTTTATTTTAGAAATAGGGAAACTGAGACTCAGAGAGAAAGGGGCCTGTCCAAAGTCACACAAGCAGGTAATAGCAGCTCCAGGCTCTGAGACGGCCTTCACTGATCTGCCCTCCACAGAGCTGACTTCACTTGCACCAACAATTCCTTTGGTACCAAAGTCCAAGTTTCCTTTTCAGAATCCCTTGGTCCTTCCCCTGGGTTATCCTGCATCAAATGATGCACACCAGTCAGAAACCCACCACCTTGGAGACCAGTAGAGCTCTCAGGGGAGAAAAAGAAAATCCCGTCTTGCCTTTGCTCCCCAGGTCCAAAGGTGGTGAGAGCAGCTGCCCAATTGCTGGGCGCCAGCCAAAGAGGGGGAGACTAAGGATGTGTCCTGGAGCTGGCCAAGAGAGAAGCAGCCAGGAAAGGGCTGGCAGAGCCTGGCTTCCATTCACAGGGGAGCCCCCTACCCCCAGCGTGCCCCACCAGCCTGCCTTCACAAATGGCCTGCAAAAGGGTTCCACAGCCCTAGGTGGCTGGTAGTTCCAACTTGGCCGGCCACAGGCCAGCTTAGTAGCCAGCAGGAAGCTGTCCCCTCCACATCCATGCTGTGCATTGGCTCTATGTTATAAAGGGTTCCAAATGAGCACTTAGTAATTTCTATTTAACAAGATACCAATTGTAAGTTAATTACACATCAACTGATAACTGATGGTTCCAGTGTTTCCCCCATTTGACAAGGGAGCTTTGGATGCACAGGGCTTTTAGCTCAGCCTAAACTCTAGAAATCCAGTGGTCAGGAATTGGCTTAATTAGAGCTGCCTACAATAATTGCTGCAGCAAGAAGCATCCTTAGCAACTGTTGAGGCTGGGACAGGCAGCTATTTCCAACTGGCCACTGCCTTCTAAGTTCAGCCTGGCTGTTCCAAAAATTTAGCCAAGAGATTAGAGGAAACATTTGATGAAAATTCAAGAACTGTGGGCTCAGGTTTCCCTTGCTGAAGCCAAGTCCTGAAGGGAAGGGTCCACCTGACCTCTAGACAACATCCAGTTGGCAGAAGGGTGCCTGAAACTCCCCTCAACAACCACACCAACTGTGCCAGGGAACACTGGGCACTCACAACCCCTCTGAAGCTCAGCTTCCTCAACATAACCCAGGGTGCTAACGGCAGCCCTGCCCACTACACAGGATCTGAGGAGACAGCCCTGTGCATTGGCTCTGCACCCCCTCCTCCAAGAGCAACTCTGCAGGGGTCCCCAGGGAAAAGTAGGCTATGCAAGAACGGGCACCTCACTCAGCCTTAAAGAACTATTGGGAACTGTGTAGGAGCCCAGAGCCCTCAGGGAAAGTCAAGACCACATGAGGGTTTGGAATGTTCAAAAGGCACTTGGCCCAAGCTAGAGCACCACCTCACTGGCCAAAACAAATCAAGTTGGTGGCTCCTCTCTGGACTCGTGCTATGTTCCACACCAGGCTTGGGGACTGCTGGGTTATCCAACTGCATCCTTAGGGCTTGTCATGTATTAGCACTTCCTGGCACCTCAGGGGAGGCCAATACACTCAGCATTTGGAGGCTGGGGCAAGGAGAGATAGGGCTACTGCTCTGCTGCCATGAGGACTCTTGGAAAACTAGCAGATGATAGCACTTGGTTTCCCAAAATTATATCTTGCACAGATAGCAAGGAGACTGTAACCACAATTTTTCCACTACTCTTCACTTTTGGAGGATGCTCTGTCTTATCCAGAAAACAGAGAAAAGCAACATAGGGCCATTTGCTTCATCCATTCATCAATGTGTGTCTTCTCCACACTCAGACTAAGGGAAATGTGGCCACCACCAGACGGGCAGAGGTTAGGGAGGAAAGAGCAAACCAGCTGCCTGCAATTGAGACTGGCTACTTCCACCACACATCGACAGGGCCTTCAAAATCCATCCAAAGGAGCAGAGAGACAGATGTGCAAGGCTGCAGGAGCCATCAGGCTGCTGCACACCAAGCACTACATTTGGCTGTGAGAACACTAATGGCAAGGGTGAAGGCAGAGACTGCTGCAGTTCCCACCTGAGGGTCTCCTGCTGTTATACACTGAATTGTGTCCCCCTAAAATAGGTGCTGTAAATCCTAACCTCTGTGCCTGTGGTTATAATTCTACTTGGGAATGGGTTGTCTTTGTTATGTTAATGAGGCAGGATTAGTGTAGGGTGTATTTTGAGTCAATCTCTTTTGAGATATAAAAGAGATTAAACAAGTGAGCAAAGGAGAGATGGGGGAAAATAGATGCCAAGCCACATGGAGATCTCCAAGGAATCAGGAAGCAGAAGCTGAAGAGACAAGGACCTTCCTCCAGAGCCAACAGAGAAAGCCTTCCCCCAGAGCCGATGCTCTGAATTGAGACTTCTAGCCTCCTAAACTGTGAGAGAATAAATTTCTGTTTGTTAAAGCCACCCACTTTTGCTATATCTCTTATAGTAGCACTAGAGAACTAAAACACCTGCCCAGCTAGAAAACAATCTTGAGCCAGTTTCCCCACCCCCACACCAATCATATGGAAGTTCCATTTCCTATTAAGATTAAACAATGGCCACGGTGGAGGGGTCACAAAACCCCAATCTCTGGCTCTTGCTCAGAACCTAGTTTACATACAATTTTAACAAAACTAATTGCTATGTTGATACCCATTTCAAAGAGGTAAATTGCCAGGCCAAAAGGAAACTTCAATTCTACTAGTAGTAAGCACATTGAAAGCAGCCAAAAAGGAGTTACAGGCCTTTCCTTGATCTAACAGGAGAACATCAGGACCATGTGTAGCGGGCAGTCTCCAAGATGGCGCCCGGTGATCTTCACCTCCTGGTGTTCATGCCCTTCTGTAACCAAGCACCATGGAGAGATCTCACTCCTCCACTTAGCCTATGCAAACATCTTGATCTATCTTGAACAGTTACTTACCTCTGAGTATTTATTTGCAAGGCCCGTCTCAGAGACTAGGCTCTGAACTCACCCAATTGCATGGTGCTTGCTGGGCACCAGTGGGTACGCTCAAACTGAGTCTAACATGGGCCAGGCCATATCTATGGCCACGATGGAATTGGTTACCACAGCCTTTCTCCTTGTCAAGCTCCGCAGATGCAAGTAACTTTTGTAGAGCATCTTTTGTAATTCATTTGCTCAACTAACATATACTGAGTCCTTGACATCAAGGAGCCTGTAGTTGAGAGAGCAAGGCAGACATATAGCAGATAATTACAATAAAATGAGGGAGGGGCGATCAGGTAAACAGCTGTGATAGAAGCTAGAAAGATACTAGTGGCAAAGAGAGGAGTGTGGTGTGAATAAGAAGGGAGCAATTAATAGCGGTGGAGGTCAGGGAAGATGCCACAAGAGAGGTATCACTTGAGCTTGATCCTGAAGGATAAGGATTTTGACAAGTAGAAAAGTGGAGCTATGGCATTGCAAGCAGGGAATAGTTTGAAGGTACCAAGTGGGAACATCTGTACTCTAGTGTGACTAGAACGCATGGTCTCTAGATGGATGGAGAGAAATAAAACCAGACTCCGGTGCTGGCTTCAGCCATGGAGGGCCTTAACTGCTAGAGTGTGGGCTTAAACTTCATGCTGTATGAGGAGGGTCAGCACTGCAGGAGGTATGCCACTGGGAGGCCAGTTTAGTAGGGAGTAGAGGGTGGGGAGAAACTTTTGCATAGTCCAGGTGGGCTAACGGAACAGTACTGACACTAGGACTGTAGTGGTGGAAAGGAGAGAAGGAACCAGGGAAAAATGAGAGAAATCATCACAGAGCAAGAATTGATAACTACAGACTTAAGTCCATAAACAAACATCATTATCAGAAGAAAAGAGCCATTTCATTGTCATGTTTAAAACTGCTTTATTGTTTTTATTTCTGGAGGTCCTCTTCAGGCAGCAAGTGACTTACCTTTTCCAGTCTTGTTCCCAAGTCAGTGCTGGTTAAAATCTCTCCCAAAAATTCTTGGAGTGGTTACAGGCACACAGAACAGAAAACACAAGCATATGGAAAGTCCCTAGGTCAGAAACCTAGGCTAGGAGATATTGTAATCAAAGCTCGGTACTCACCATGTCCAGGGTTGAGAGAGGACCCAGGCTGTTGACAGAGAACTGGACACTGACCACAGTTGGCTTCTCTGTAAGGGAAGAGAAGTGGCAAAGGGTAAGTGTCAAACAGGGGTGTGGGGTAGGGGAGGGAGTGGTCAGAGGGGAGGAAAGGGGAGTCAGGTAACCACAGTATGGGCATCCAATGCTATTTCTTTCTTTGTTCTTTCATGGCAAGATCCCATTCATGGACCATTAAAAGTTGAGTGGATGTCGAAGGTCAACCACGTGTCCATCATTGCATTTTGTAGTTGGAAAACTGAGGGTGAGAGAAGAGTCTTGACCAAGGTCAATGGCAACGCTGAGACTAGAGTTAGTATCTCTTACCTGGTAGGCTGGCAGCACATGTTCTCATGCACGTGCATGGCACCCTACCCTATACACCAGGTCCATTCTCCACACCTGTGCCCTCGACTCCCCGGCCCTCCAGGAGGGGGAGACTTTTGCTCTGCTACTTACCACCAATGCCAGGGCGCAGTTTGTGGTCATAGTTGCTCAGTATGGTGTTCAGGATCTGAGAGGCTTCTGAGCCTCCAGCAACTCTGCGGCCAGTAGCAGGGGGCTTTGGTCCTTCAGTGAGAGGCTTCTTTTTGGGGTCCTGTGGCTTGGGGCCGTAGAAGCCATCACTATTGCCAGAGGCTCCCTTCTCTGACTTAGCCTGGGGTCCTTCAACCCTAGAACATACAAAGAGTGAATGAAGGTATGCTGCCCACTCTGCTGGGCCCCAACTGGAACGCTGAGACAAGGCAGGATTCCTTCACCCGGAGACTGGCATCTAGCAAATGGATGGCTGACAGAGTCCAACGTGAGCTCACAGCATGCATCACAGCTAAAAAATGAAAACTAAAAGAAAAGCCTTCTGCCCAGTGTCTGAAACTCACCCCTTGTGTTAGAAGTCAGGGTCAAGCTACCTTTGTGGGAGACAGTGATGAAAAGGGGCCCCAGGGGGCTCTGAGGGTCTGGTCGTGTCCTAGATCCCAACCTTAGTGTCCTTCTGTGAGTGTGTTCATTCTGTGACAATTCATCACTTGCACACTTAGGACTGGAGTACTCTTCTGTATATATGCTTTCTTCAATAAAAATTATTTTAAAAAATAAGAATGGCCCATCTGCCAATATACAGATCTGAACTGGATCTTGATTTTAAAAAGCAAACTGTAAAAAACCCAAAACAAAACAAAAACATTTACAATACAACAGGGGGGATGTGAACACTAACCGGACAGTTGAGGTATACTTTTAAATGATAGGTGTAATAATGGTACTGTGTTATGTTTTCAGAAAACCCTGGTGGCATAGTGGTTAAGAGCTATGGTTGCTAACCAAAAGGTCAGCAGTTTGAATCCACCAGCTGCTCCTTGGAAACCCTGTGGGACAGTTCTGCTCTGTCCTATAGGGTCACTATGAGTCGGAATCGACTGGAAGGCAGTAGGTGGTGGTGGGTGGTTATGTTTTCAGAGAGGCCTTAAATTTTAGACTAGAGATACATTCTAAAATAATTACATATGAAATGATGAAGTGTCTGAGATTTACATTAAAATCATGTAAATGAGTAGGGGTATAGAGGAAGCAAGAGTGGCCTTAAGTTGATAATTGATGAGGTTGGTGATAGATACAGGGCTATTTACCCTGCTATTCCCTCTACTTTTACGTGTCTTCCAAACATTTTCATAGTAAAAAGTCGGGGTTGTTTTGTTTTGTTTGTTTTTTAAAGCCATCAGCCAAGATTAATCTGTGGTGGGAAAGCAAGTGAGTGGTTTCCTTTGGGGAGGAGAGGGAACGGGGAGTGGGGAGGGGGGACTTCAAGGGCACTGGTGAGGTTCCATTTCACATTGTGAAAACCCACTGAGCTGTTCACACATGATTTCAGCACTTTTACATTTGTATGTTACACTTCCAAAATAATTTTATTTAAAAAAAAAGCCATCAGGTCACTTGCTCCCTATGACACGGGGTAAACAGGGCAGGACATGTGGGCTTGGCCCCTTATTGTGGACCATTTCTCTGCAGTGTTTCAAGCTCTGAGGACTGCTTAACTGGCATATGATGTGCCAAGTCTGTGCCATTTCTCATGTCTGAAGTGGCTAATTCCCACTGTGGACAAGGCAAGAACTGCGCTTGGGAAAAGCAGTTTCCACTTTCCAATACCATATCCAGAAGACGTCCTCTTCTCCTGAGGCTTCACAGGTCCCTCCCTGAGGTGGAGCCGAATCTCTACACACACACACAAACGCACATGCACGCACACACACACACACACACACACACACACACAGGCACACGCATGCACACACACCCCAGGATGCTACTTCTACTGGCTGCAGGAAACAGAGCAGAAGGGATGCAGTTTTTTTTTCCCTCCTTATCAACCCCCCTTTTGACTTTACTGATGGAGAAACTGAGACCCAGAGGAGGGACGGGCTTGTGCCCAAAGTCATTCAACTAATTCGAGGCTGAGCCTGGACCAAAGTGAGGTTTCCTGGTTCAACATGGCCTTGACGTCGTAGGGCGCCATGGTGTTGGCAGTGTCTGGCTCTTAGTTCCCGCAGCCCTTTCTCCTGGCTAGAAGCGCAGCTCCCCTCTCAACAGTCCCTCTCCCCTGCTGCTTCCTCCCTGCCCCCCCTTCCCTCTTTTGCCCCTGCCAGTCACCATGTCAGCTCTCCCAACTCATGCTAGTCACATCTGGAGTGCTGTGGATGATCTGGAATTCCTAGTATGCACTCAGAAACATGTACCACACAAGCCCCAGCTAAGGCCAGCCCCACCCGAGGGAACCAGGAGCCAGCAGGGAGCCACCCAGCCCCTCCCTGAGGAGCTGGCACAGTCTGGTGGGAGGAGAGAAGCCGAACGCCCTCTCCCCAAAACAGATAAGCCAGCCCAGAGCCATGGGGCCTTCGAAAGAGTGCAACAGATCAACAAGCTAAGGAACTTGTGACAGTTCACAGCCAGCGGGAAAACGTCTCCGAAACACAAAGCAGTTATCTTCCTCTCTAAAAAGCCAAAAATCCAGGGGACATCCTTTCTAGCAAAGTCCCAGGGTCAGAAGAAGGTGTGAAGGAAGCTGACAGCTCAAAGGAAACCCACTGCTAGCCTTTGGGGGTGGGAGTGGGGTGAAATCCAGGACCTGAATCACAGACCTCAGAGATTAACATTCCAGGCCCCTGGCTCCAGTCCCCCGAGACCTTGTGGGGGGGTGTCTGGGGACAGGGAAGAAAGGGGAGACTGGCAGGACGGAGTCCTAGCTAGGACGGTAACCCTGAGACTGGCACCAAGAGGCGGGATGGGAAGCAAAGTCAAGTCAGAGTCGCCCGGCACAGTGCCTAGTACTCAGTAGGCGCTCAAAAACAATTCGAGCAGCAGAGAACAAACTAGCAACACTCCAACATTTCAAGCGGCTTCGCTCCCCTAGCCCAAGCGCCACCTTCCCCAAGTCCACCCCCCAGTTGCGCGCGCCAGCCCTGGAAGGGACTGGGGGCTGCGCCCCTCTTCCTGCCAGAGACTCAGGAGGGAGGGGAGTGCTAGCCCCCAGGTTGCTGCAAGGGGTTGGAGAGCGCGAGTCCGGGGATAGGAGCGGAGAGGAGACAGGTGTCCCGCCTTCCTTCAGGGGTGCCCTCCTAGAGGGAGCGTGAGGCGACTGAGGCGCGTCGAGGGGCCGGGGCGCCAGCGAAAGCCGAGAGCTGTGTTGGGCGTGGGGCGCGGGGTCCAGGAGTCGGCCTCGCGCCGGGGGGGGGGAACTGGGCGTCCCAGGCTCCGGGACCCCAAGAGGGAGTCTCACCTCGACTGAAGGAGCATGCACACGCCCAGGAGGAGCACGAGAACTCTGGGCGACATCACGGCGGGGGACCCGGGGCGACTACCTGTGAGGAAGTCGCTGCCCGCGGTCTGCAGCTCTGCTGGCGGGGGTGGAGGCTTTTGCTCCAACTTTCACTCCTCCCCTCGCCCCGCCCCCGGCCCCGCCCCTGGCTCCTGTGGAAATCTCCTTGGTCAGAGCTTGGGGAGTAGGGCGCGAGGAGGGAGAGGGAGCCCCGCGCCCCTGCCCCGCCCCCACTGCCCCTAGTGCTGAGGCCAGAGAGCTAACAGAACCCGCGCGGGCGTAGGCGCGGCTCCGCGGGAGGCTGGCTGCCCAGGGCAAGATGGGTTGGGGCTTGGGCCTGGGCTGCGGACCCCCGTAGGCAGCCACGGAGCAGCGCTGTGGGCTCAGCCTCTGCTGCCCCACCCACCTGTTGCACCTCATCGCTCCCTTGCGTCCCTGGTCCCCTAGCTGCCTCGAAGAGTTCCCGCCGTCACTGTCTGCTGGCAGCCCTAGAGAGTTTCAGCACCGTCCTTGGCACAGGGGAGGAAGGGAGATCTGAGCGACTTCCCAAGGCCAGTCTCCCAGGTAGTTGTAAGTGGAGGACGCGCCACCGGCAGAGCAGGCCCGGGCAGTCCCCTGGAGGACATTCTCTAACCCAGGGAGGCGCGCACCCAACGTGGCTCCGAGTTCAGCCTCCAGGGCCTTGGTGTGAGAGGGACCACCTGGCTTAGGGAGGGCCTCAGAAACCTCTCCAAGACAGGCTCCCTGATGAAGTCAGTAAAAGAAATGAGAAGGCACGAAAGGGGTGGGGCAGCGCCCCATCAGGGTGGACGTCTCATCCTTGAATTTCATCTTTCTTGCCTAGACTCTCAGGATCCACTTCAGAGGAGAAGGAGCGCAGAGATTTACTTAGCACGCTGTTAGGGAGCACTCTGTGATCCCACAGCTAGCAGCACCCTCACCTGTTGCTCTCAAAGGCTGTGTGCATCCCAGCTCAGAGGATGGCTCCTCTGAAGGCTTTGCGGAGCCACAGCTTTCCCCTCCCCCCACAGCACTCTATTGTGTCATCTTCACAACACTACGAAGTGACTGATGGTTTTCTTGGGCATTTCTTTGTGAGCTTGTTTACAGTGGATCTCCCCCACTAGAGTAAACTCCGTAAGCGAAAAAACCAAAACTTTGTCTGTCTTCTGTATCCCTGAAACTTGAAAGAGTTATAGGCACACAGTAGGCACTCGACAAATATTTGTTACAGGACTATGTGTCCATGTCACTGAGCCCATGGGGACCCAGGGCTCTCTTGAGGAGGGTGACAGACGGGAGTGTTCAGAGAGAAGAAAAGACTGCAGGACACATTCAGGACTCTCACAGCATAATCTTCCTAGCCAGGAGGCAGGGCCGGCTAGTGGGCATGTGCACAAGGAAGCATGCTGCCCTCCAGGAGACACGTTGGGGAACAGGGGCAGGCAGAAGCCCAGCATTCAGGACCAACTGGGAGGAGAAGGCTGCCTGGCCAGGTGCCTGCCTTTCCATCTAGCACAGATAGCTATGGAGAGGAGTGATTCTGCACTTACCATAGCCTTGGACTTGCAGTGTCTGCAGGCATGTCTGCTCCTCCACTGATATGGGAGCTCTAGGAAAGGGAGGTGTGTCTGATGTGCCCAATGACCAGTAGGTGTTAATTACCATTTGCCAAAGGAGTGTCTGAATCCCAGGCAGCCAAAGAGATGCGAGTGGTTCCAGCTTCCTCTCAGAGGACCCCAGGCACCTCTCTCAGAAAGGTTGAGATGAATCATACTTTGCCATCTTCTGGTAAACCTCATCGGGATGGCTGTGAGGACTTGAGGAATCTCTAGAGCCTTGTAAAAGACAGGGCATTATTATTGTTTTGCAGTTCTCCAAGTCTTCCCAGAATGCTCCTCTGTGCTGGGATCTATCCATACTTGATGCTGGGGGGAAGAAACAGCAAGCCCTCAGGCATGATCTGGGCTGTCACATATGTGGTTCCACAGAGGAGAGGAAACTACTCTCAGTAATTGCTAATACAAGGGAGAATTATTAATACATGAGTGCAGGAAGTCACAGGGAAGACAGGCACTTGCAGGCTGGGTGGTCCTGGAAGCTGCAAGCAGGCAGGAAAAGATTGCACTTGGCATGGAGTGGAGCAAGAGGAGGGTCTTATAGCAATGAGCATTCCAAGCAGGAAGCCAGCTATGGGGTTGAAGCCAGACTTTGTAGTGCTTGACAGAGAACAGGGAGGAGTTTGCCAAGAGCATTTGTGTGAAGAATCATGGAAGATAAGGCCGGAGTGGGAGGCTGGGTTGGCTGGTGCTGGGCCTTGGATACCAAGCCAAGAGGCTGCACTTTAGCCTGTAGGTGACAGGGAAGTTACTGGAAAGTTTGAGCAGGGACACTGCTTGTCAGAACTGTGCTTCAAGAGGATTCCTCTGTCTTAGAAGAACAAGCAGGGGCTGCTGTCAGACCTAGCTTTCAACAATGGATTATCTAATATAATAACAAAAACATAAACAGCAAAAGGCAAAATAAATAAATGAAACCACATAAAAATTAAAAACTTTTGTTCCTCAAAAGACTTTACCAAAAAAGTAAAAAGACAAGCTACTGACTGGGAGAATATCTTCAGAAACCATATAGCAAACAGGAATCTAATAACCAATATACATATACATATAAAACTTCTAGAACTTGACAACAAAAAGACAGCTAAGCCAATCATAAAATGGGCAAAGGACTTGAATAGACACTTCACTGAAGAGGACATTCAAATGGCTACCAAACACATGAAAAGATGCTCAGGATCATTAGCCATCAGAGAGATGCAAATCAAAACAAAAATGAGATACCATTTCACTCCCACTAGGATGGCTAAGATTAAAAAATAAACAGAAAATAACAAATGTTGATGAGGATGTGGGAAAATTGGAACACTTATCCATTGCTGGTGGAAATGCAAAATGGTACAGCCATTGTGGAAAACAGTGTGGCAGTTCCTCAAAAATCTAAAAATAGAACCACAGTATAACCTAGCAATTCCACTCATGGTATATATACAAAAGATTTGGAAGCACAGATTCAAACAGAAACTTGTATACCAATGTTCATTGCAGCACTATCCGCAGTAGCCAAAAGGTGGGAACAACCTAAATGCCCAAGAACAGATAAATGGATAAACAAATTGTGACACATACTACAATAGAGTATTACTCAGCCAGTAGGAGAAGTGAAGTCTTGATATATGCTACAGTATGGATGGAACTTGAAGACATTATGCTGAGCAAAATAAGACAATCACAAAAGAACATATGTTGTATGACCTCGTTTATATTAAAAAAAAAAAAAGGCAAAGGTATAGAGAACAAAGTTTACTAGTGGTTGCCAGGGGTAAGAAGGAGAAGGGAAAGAGGGGATTAATAATGATGGAAAAATTGTATAGATTAAGGCTAGTGTTGCAATTATTGCAATTGTCAATAAGTTGTACACCTGTAAAAAGTTGAATTGGCAAAAGTTGTGTGATAGCTATATTTACAACAATGACCAAAAAAAAAAAAAAAAGAATAGCTACTGAGGCTGTTTATGTACAATCGAACACCTCATGGGATTTGACTCCTTGGTTTGGAGGTTTAGGGTCATGGTTTCATGGGACATCCCAGTTAATTGGCCTACTAACGTATTTAATGCTTCTGTTCTACCTCCTTGTTTGTTACACAGTGCCTGGGATCTTAAAAGCTTGCAAGCGGCCATCCAAGGCACAACAATTGGTCTCTATTCACTTGGAGCAACAGAGGAAGAAAGAGAGTCAGGAACAGGAGGAGGATATGGAATATGTGGCTAATTGCCTCCATGAACAACTGCTTCCTTTGCCATGAGACCAGAAGAATTGAATGGTTCCCGGCTACCATTACTGAACATTTTGATCATAGATTCCATAGCTGAGTCCCGATCAAAAGGGGGAAAATATAGAACAGAATTTCAAATTCTCATGGACTCTAGACTTTCTGGAGCCATGCACAATGGATAAACCCCTGAAACTATTGTCCTGAGATAATCTTTAAACCTTAAGCCAAAAATATCTACCAACGTCTTCTTGAAACCAAACAATAGTTTAGCTTAATTAGTAAAAAAGTTCTCTAAAAAACCTTATGAATAGCAGTGGAATATTGTTTGATATACTGCCGGAAGATGAGCCCCTCAGATTGGAAGGCACTCAAAATATGACTGGGGAACAGCTGCCTCCTCAAAGTAGAATCAACCTTAATGACATGGATGGAGTCAAGCTTTTGGGATCTTCATTTGCTGACATAACTCAAAATGAGAACAAACAGCTGCAAACATCCATTAATAATCAGAACGTGGAATGTGCAAAGTGTGAATCTAGGAAAATTGGATATCGTCAAAAATGAAATGGAACGTAAAAACATCGATATCCTAGGCATTAGTGAGCTGAAATGGACTGGTATTGGCCATTTTGAATCAAACGATCTTACTGTCTATTATACCGGGAATGACAATTTGAAGAGGAACAGTGTTGCATTCATCGTCATAAAGAACATTCCAAGATCTATCTTGAAGTACAATGCTGTCAGTGATAGGATAATATTCATAAGCCTACAAGGAAGACCAGTTAATATGACTATTATTCAAATTTACGCACCTACCACTAAGGCCAAAGATGAAGAAATTGAAGTTTTTATCAACTTCTGTGGCCTGAAATTGATACAACATCCAGTCAGGATGCACTAATAATTACTGGTGATTGGAATGTGAAAGTTGGAAACAAAGAAGAAGGATCAGTAGCTGGAAAATATGGCCTTGGTGATAGAAACGATGCTGGAGATCAAACGATAGATTTTGCAAGATCAAGGACTTCATTGCAAACACCTTTTTCACCAACATAAATGGCGACTATGCACGTGGACCTCACCAGATGGAATACACATGAATCAAATTGACTACATCTGTGGAAAGAGATGACGAGAAAGCTCAATATCATCAGTCAGAACAAGGCCAGGGGCCAACT